ATCCGTCTTGATATCCCTGCATCCGTCTTGATATCCCTGCATCCATCTTGATATCCCTCCATCCATTTTGATATCCCTCCATCCCTGGCCTTGTTTTGATAACTTTGTTCCTGTACCAGATCCACACTCAATTATCATCTCTGTTTTATGGTATTTTTGCTTCATAGAGCGATAGTATCAATACAGTTCTGCTCTTTTATGATGCATTTATCAAACAGTTGACTGCCTGGTCTTTTGGCGAGAATTCGTTGGCCTATTCTCAGAGCTCTGTCTCAATACATCTTTTGATAACTGTTTCTCAACATCATCTTCATTTCAATTTCAGAATATGATGTTAATCAATTTACTAGCTTCCAATCAAAGATGAACAGCTTACAGCGTTTGTGGCAATATTGGATATATTTACTTCCAAGGGAATGATTTTTAAATAACAGCACATTGTGTTCTTATTTGTTTTTCACAATCCAGTTCCAGCATCTGAGAAACTTTGCTCTGATGCTTGACTCCCACTAGGGAGACACTGAGAACAACGACCTTGCGGTGGTCGTGATTCTTCCCGGGTGCTCTGCATTTCCATGCTGCAAGGCCACTGGCTGGCACCACTTGTTTCTCCTTCGACATCCTCAAATGATCTCTTGAAAGAACCCACCTTGGCCTCATTGTTACCTTCCCTCTACTTCTTTTTCTTATTATTCAGTTCAACAACTTGTGTTAAATACCTATAACATGCTAGCCAGGTAGAAGAAGCCAGCAGATAGACAGACCAAGTCATTAGATCGTGATAAGATCTGATAAAGTAAGTACTGAGGGAACACACATTTATTGGGTGTGGGGTTGAACCACTGTATTTAAATTTAAGTAAAAACTGAGAAACAGCCTGAAAAGTACTTTTATTGTTGGACATAATTCTCTAGGCTTGAAGTTATCCAAGAGAGTTCAAGAACTCATCCCTTAAGTGGACTGGGAAAGCTGGATGTTTACCATTTGTCACAGTTAGAATTAGGAGCTTGGCTTTCATATTATCCTTTGGTGTCACAGAATGGGAGCAGAACATCAGTAAGGGCTCCATATGACCACCAGGGGAGGCAAATTGAATTTGGGATATGTCATATCAAATCTGTTAAAGGAAAAATAAAGAAAAGGAGAAGAAGGAAAGAGAAAAGAAAAAACGCAAAAGAATTCATTATATAACCATTATATGTTAATGGTAAAGTTTGAGAGACTTTGAAGTATTGTCATATATTATTTCATTAAGTAGTTTATATTTTTATCCCACCAGTTCTTACTATTTAAAGGGAAGAAGGATTAAATAAGCCGTATGTTACATTGCATTAGAATCTTTGAATGCTGCCGTAGCTACATAATGGTGTGGAAGGTAGTAAACCCATTTGTCCCAACTTATGGGAAAGTACCAACTAAAACTGAGTGAATGAATTAATACATGAATAAGTCATCAGAATTGCCAGCAGAGTCCTGCAGTCCACTCCCCCAACACATGCTCAAAGACAGAACCATCCCTGAATGCAAAGGAATTTGACACTGCCAGAGCCCCCGAGCACCAAGTGTGACAAGAAAGGGCCACTGTGTTGCTCATTATGAGGACACCTGGGCGCTTCCAGCCCTGCCCCCTTTGACGTGGCGAGGATGCCTGGTGAGAGGTGGTCATGGCTGAGCGTGCAATGGGAGGCAGAACAAAGCCAGAGTCCCGCAAGAGGCTGACGTTCTGGCCAGTGTCTGGTTCACACAGCTTTAAGGTGCTCCAGGCAGATTGGGAGACCCCTCAGGACCACGGGAGCCTTGGGAGAAAATAAAGTAATCCCTGCCAAGGCTGCCAAGCCAGTGTCAAGCAGGTGGACCCAGGAAGTAACTCTGTCTCTGCCTGGTTACGCCAGGACTCCTGGTGAGCCCACAGCCTGAGAGGGCATAAGAGTAGGTCCTGTCCCATTATAGATTACTCAGTCCTGACACATTTAGGGGGCTTATGAGAGATGGAATCCTAAGGCCTTCCCAGGTGGCCTGCAGAAGCTTCAAAGTCAGCCTTGCAGGGAACACTCATTCCCCCTTCCTGGCTTCCTTCCTTCTGGAGGGAGCTCCACTGGTGGCAGCGCTATGGGTCTCCCACCCCAGCCCACACGTCCACAGAGCCGGGGTGACGCACCCAGTGGTGATCCTGGCATATGTAGTTCTGCCGCCTCATTTTTCCTTCCTTGAGGGTGTGGGCTGCCCACAGAGGGGGAATGCCAAGAGCACCCCATGCCCCAGAGAGTGGTCCCTGCTCCCTGGGGCCCACTGTCTGGGGCATGGGGTGCTCTGGGTCCTCTGCAGCCGGATGATAAGTCAGTCAAACTCCATGGCCCAGTATTAAAAAACCACGTGGCGCTTTCACTCACTTCTGTCCTCAACCCAGCCTTTATCAGAAATGAAGGAAATAGTCTAATTCTCTTCCTGCTGACACTTTTGTCTTATTGTTTAATTGGTTCAGAATTTTGATGATCAAGAGATGATATTATCGAGATCCTAAGCAAACACATCTAAATGAAAACAATCATGTACACACACACCCAAATTCCACCTACTGTTCTTCCCTCTATTGTTAGAACACCTTCCCCTTCCTAAAACACACAGTGACAAAGGGAATTCTCCAAGATCAGGAAAAGGATTGCCAAGTCGTGCCCAAGCCCAGAGCCTGTCTCTCTGTGGTTACCTCTTTCCAGATGCTTTTCTTGCCCCTGCCTCTACTCTGTTCTCACCATCGCCCCCACCCTCAATGAGCAGCCGATCCATCTCTGCTTTTGCATCAGTGTGCAGGCTAAGCTGCTACAACAGAAAAGACCCAAAGCTACCATAGCTCAAACCAAATGAAGTTTATTTCTGTCTCACCCAACAGTACACACAGAGGTAGGCGGGTGGTCGAGGTGGGTGGGAAGTGCTCCTCTTCAATGTTCATCCAGAGACTCACATTGTGTCTACCTTGTTGCTCTGAGGTCCTCATCTGCATGGCTGATGCCAGCTCACTATACCATGTTCGAGTTCCAGCATGAGACAGAGGAAGAGAGAGTGGAGGGCAGGTGGCCTCCTTTTAA